CCCTACATCTTTCCTTAGAATAAGAATCACATATAAAGCAGGAAGCAAAAGTAGAAGTCTATTTTAAAGAAATTTGGATACACTAAAATCATTTTACTATTTATATCTTTATATATTTATATATATAAATACATATTTATATTTATCATATTCACTATACTATCCCTATTGGAAAGGATGGACCTTAGGGACTCTTATTCCGATCAGAGATCTATACATGCTTTCAATTAAGTGTTTCATTCCCCTTGGGGACGTAGGAAACCATGATTTCTCTCCCTAGGGAAGCAGGAGTTAAGTGCTTTACTAGGGCAAGCATGGCTTGTAATCAATAGTTCTTTGGATTCTTGGAATTTGGTATTGAGGCTCAGGCTGCCCCCCAGGAAAATGGTGATGAGTTTGGGATTGGCTTTTCTACAAACCTACTTTCCTCTTCACCAACAACCTGGACTCCTCACACTGCTGGCTGGTCTTATACCAAGTCACCCATCTGGTACCAGTTAAGTAAGGGGAGAAAGGAGAAGGGAGGGGTACAAGCCATGTTTTTGTATATTTGGTTATCAACCTGGATAGATCATTTCCCTAAATATGTTCCTTGGAAGTTTAGTCAGAACAGATGCTGCAAGAATGATAGGATTTGGGGGTTTTTTTAAGTCAAAATTATGTTTGATATCCTATATTTGATATGTATAAGCACGTTAGTAATATAAACGTCTCTGAGAAGTTCTGTAATTAAAACAATTTTAAAATTTGCTTTTACCTAGTATATTTCAAAGTTGACCTTGAAATACCTTTATTTTTCTTAAAACATCTGTAAGAGTGACCCAGGGTATTTGTGTTTCTTGGAATATGCTTAGGAAAATTCCTGTGTAGATGATTTAGATCACCAGTTCCTAATGGGGAGGAAAGATGGTTCTAATCCTTAGGGAACATTTGGAAAATGTCTGGAGACATTTTTGGTTGTCACAACACAGGGTATGGTACTAGCATGTCACTATGAGAGGCTAGGGATGGTGCTAAACAACTTAGAATGCACAAGACAACCCCACTCCCACCCCCCATCATAAAGAATGGTCTGGCCCCAAATGTCTATAGTACCTTGAGACTGAGAAACCCTAGCTTAGAGATAGCTTGTTCAAATGGGACTTTGATCTGGCATCTTTAAGACTGGCAGTTGGCACTCTGCATTCACCAGATCTTGTCATTTAATTTTGGCCATGCAAACCAACTTGTTCTTTCTTTACTTACAGGCTATTGATAACAATGTCTCCAATTTGAGCTATGAAAATCTCAAATGAACACTCTGACATTATCTTGTTGAGTTACTGGCAAGCTGTTAGGTATTTCTGTTATGTTAGTTATTTCTAACCATATATTCTTGGAAGCTTTCTATGATGTGTGTATTAAATACTATATCATGATTGAGCTGTATAAGTATTTGAGAAAAATAAAATTATATATCTGTACATATTATATAAATGTAATATTACTTTAGACATTGTATGTTTCATATAACCTCAGTGCTCAGTAATCTTTACTAGTAGCCAGATTGACTCCTTCTTTTTACAGATAAGGAAACTCTGTCTCAGAGATGCTACCCTACAACCAGTTTGGGCCGGCCAGGCCAAGAGTCCAAGTCTCCAAAACCTCCAGTCCAGTCCTCTTCCCATTTCTATGATGGAAATTAAGCCGCTTCCATTTTTCATACATAATTTAACATATGTGACATGAAAGGGTAATTAACACCATAAATATTCATGAATTCAATTTGTATTTTCCAACTGTTTGTGTTTGTTCTAAACTCTTAATTTGAGACTGTGAATGGATCAAGATTTCTATCAAATGTTAGGAGAAAGACATTCTCAGCAGCTGTTTTCTTACAATCTTTCTTGTCAGTCACAGATATTTTTAGCCAAATCAGAAATAGTAACAGATGATATAAAAATCATTAAATGCAAAAGAGCCTTTTTCTCCTAATCTTAACTTTTCACATTAAAACAAATAAACGTACAGAAATTTATAATCACATTTCAACATCAACTAGCAAACAAGTTGTCACTGGGTATGCTGTGTCATCAAGCAGAGAGATGCAGGGCAAATTAAACCCACCCAGGCTTGTACTCAAGTCTTAGACTAGGTTCTAGATTCTGACTCCACCCTCTTCTTCAGATGAATTCACAGAAGTTTTCTTCTGTTGGTGTCAAAAAAGACAGTTGAGCTAAATGACTGCTCATTGCTAGACAGCTAAATTTGAACTCCACAAATTCCTTTGCAATTTGAAAACCCAGAGACAGATTATAGGTCTATTTCGGTAAAATAACTAAATAGGACCCCAAAATAACCAGTTATCTTGAGAGTATGATTACAGCAATATATTTGTGTCACAGCAGATGGTTAAGCTATAAGAAACGACTAAAATCTATTAAAGACAAATAGCCCCCTCCATGAAAATAAGACTTTTAATTCTTGTGTCCAATCTTCTACATTTGTCCAATCTTTTATCATTAAGCAAGTGGCAATAACAGTATGACATATGTCTGCCATGCTCTTGATCAATCCTCAAAGACCATGGCCATAAATTAATGCTGACTACAATTATTGTTGGAAGATCTAAATATTCACAATGCCTTTTCTTATAAGTTGGCTCAAGTATAAATGGAAGGCCATCAGTTAATACCAGCAGCAATGACAAGCAGCCTATTCCATGAAAATTGTAGTAGCTACAAATCAAAGGTATAAAATCAGAAAAGTTTATATTGAGTTATGGGAACATTTGTTTAACTTCAGACAATCAACTTGCGCTTGTGTACATGACATGCTATTCCCATGATCCTCTGCACATCATAGATTCTACCCTAACTCAAGAAAGCATTTTAAAAATTTAACCATAACCAGAAAGAAATTTCCCACACTGCTCACTGTCACTCATATATCCTTCATCAAAAATAATTTCATTCCAGTTGCAGTTACAATGTCGTAATAACCATCAGAAAGCCTATCACTTTGTCAGTCAAGATTTGTTTGCAAAATATAATCAAGTATAATTTCATGATTTAATAAATAGTATATAAATCTGCTATTATTGGTTTTCATTTTCTTTTCAATACAACCCATTTCCATTTTCTCACTGGTAGTTATTCTGACTATTCAAATGTCATCATTGCTCTTTATTGTTATTCAAATGGAGGGTTTTTTATTAGATTCTTTGACACTATATATAAGGCTTTGCTTATTCACCAGTAATAATTCTATTTCTGAAGGAAAGTGAAAGTGATTACACACAAAATTCTGAGCTCCTACTTTGTTAGGTTAACCCCGTACCTGAAATGAGATTTTAATTTAATCATATTGAAGAAAACCAAAAGGTTTTTATTAGCCAGCTTAAGAAAGCAGGAAAATATTCTTTTTCTTTTTCACACAGGCTTTTTGGTTCAAAGACCCACGAAACCATTACTCCTCTCCAGTGATGTGTATAAGACAAGCTTACTGACCAAATTAAACTCTAATTTCTTTCATCAGAGGGTATTCATCATTTTGGGGCTATTTTTCTCTTGAAATTTAGGGAAAACAAAATATTCTATACAAACAGTTGAAAGAAAATGTTATAATTCAGTTAAACAATCTTTTTAAATAGTCTTTTTAGTAGATCTATGGAAAAGGTAATTTAAAAGACACATGACCATAAATACATTGTTGTTGGTTTTGTTAATACAATGTACTGGTTCACAAAAGAAAACTAGAAAACCACCAGGTTATAGATTTCAAAAACAAATCAAATATTGCATCATTACATAAAATTAACTAGCATGTCTGTTAGTAGCAAGCAGACAAAAATTATACATTTTTGTTATATCCTACCAGCAGTTTTTCTATGTACAGAAATAGAATATTGTCTATTACTATAAACCACAGATATGTTCTCCCGTAAGAAAACTAGTGTAAGAGCAGAACAAATGAAAATATCAGGCACTTTACCCCAAAACTAGAATTCCTCAGGGAAGACAAAGCTCAAGATTATTAGGATTTGTTAAAAGGATACATGAAGGAGGGCAGCATAGCCTGGTACAGAGACCAATGGTGATGGATTTGGATGAGGTTGGGCAAGAAAGCTACAGGGTAAGCAAATATTTACCTGCCATCTCTGTGTACAGAGAGAACACTCTCCTCCATGCTTCGAGGAGATAAGAAATAAAGGACTTCAGAGGCTTACTGATCCTTGGGAGACAAAGCTAATTATATTAAACAATTCTGGTGTAATGTGAGGCATCATGTAATTAAGCACTAGCATATTTATTCCAGATAACAAGAGCTATAGGAATTTAGAAAAAGGAATTCAGATTCCATAGCAGCACCTATAAAGAGCTTGACCACGTGGGCCCTAGATAGTATCACATCCATCTTTACCAGTCTCAATTCCCAAGAGGCTCCAGGGAATGAATAACTCGGGAACAAGACTTCTACCATACTAATAACCTATTTTTCCAATTTTCCTGCACAGCTGTTCTCACATATCTTTCCTTACCTAGAATCGGAACCCACCATGTAGTACAAAACACTAAATGTGCGAGACCTATACAACAGCATTCTTAAAATATTCTCTAATAGGAAGAGAAGCAGAAATTTAAGCAGAAGTGTTCAACCTTTTAATTATAGAAAAACTTAAGTAATCTTTGAGCAGGCCAGGGTCAGGAAATATGGATTCTAGTTTCTAAAATATAAGTTTGCTGTGTGGCCTTGGACAAATTAATTCCTTGACCTTGACAAGTGTCGTGATTTCCATCATCCAGCCAGCTCTGAGCAGGTCCTTGACTCAAGGACTTTTGGCACTGTTGCTTTACTTTAATTAAAGGAATGGAATTCTCTAGGCAGCCTCTGGTGATTTTTGCCCCCAAAGGTGCTTTTGACACCTAGTGGAAGAAGAGACCGTTTGCCAACTCCCTGCTTCCGTGATCATGGTCAAAGCTATAAAGGCTGCTATAAGTTAAAGACATAAATTAACTCACCTCCAGAGACTTCTGTGTTGCTCCTCGAGTTGAGTTAGCAGGTGCTCTATGTATTTATTGGAGTCCATGTATTCCTGCACATGCAAAGACAAGTAAAACCCCATTACTATAGTCACCAGAACTCTAAGACTATCCCTACAAGGAAGATTTTGACAAGATAATCCTTTGGTCCCTCCCAGTTCCAGGAGACAATGCTTCTATGACTTACATGCATAACTACGTAACTAATAACTATTTGGGGATGAATAATGTTTTCCCCATATCCTGTGATCATTCTATAAACAAAGAATGGAAGAGAACTGTCACACTACAGAGCCAGCATAAATGTCCTCTTATCCACAGGGAAAAAACCTCAATTTCATAGTCATCTACACTGTGATCTGTCTTCTACTTTATAAAAGTGAGCCAATTTGCTGCTGACCTTAGAAGAATAAGAATAAAGTATACAATACAGGACTTGATTATACCATGCTTATGAGAATCACTTCCTAGCAAAACGCTATTTTTGAACAATATGGAATGCTTTACATATTCACTGGTCATATTGTTTACTCTGGTGAAGCACATGTCCATCTTCCTTCATCTCTTTATACAAAAACATAATATAATTTGTTTGCTTGTTTTTCTTTCTTAGGAAAAGAATCTGGCTTCTAAGAAGTCTTGAAGGCAAGGTATATTGTGGTTTTTAGAAGTGTGCTTGTAAATTTTTGTAAATCAAACCATATTTTCAAGAAACATTTCTGAAAAATGAAGAATTCTTTTGTTACATAAGAATTATTTCTAGAAGTCCATAGGTTATTAAATATGATTTATTTTTTATTTTTTTATTTTTGTTTTATTTTTTTTAAAGATTGGTACCTGAGCTAACAACTGTGGGCAATCTTTTTTTTTTTTCCCCCCTTCTGTTTTATCTCCCCAAATCCCCCCTGGTACATAGGTGTATATTCTTAGTTGCAGGTCCTTCTAGTTGTGGCATATGGGCCGCCGCCTCAACATGGCCTGATGAGTGGTGCCATGTCCATGTCCAGGATCCAAACCAGTGAAACCCTGGGCCGCCGCAGTTGAGCGTGCAAACAACAACTCGGCCACGGGGCCGGCCCCTAAATATGATTTAAAATTTGTGATTTCTGAAGATGAGGTTCATATGCAATAGTTTCAATTGCAAAATACAATGTGTAAAATTTTTGATGACTTGTTTCATCCTTAACTTGATATTTCTTTTCCTTTCTGTTTAAAGATCTAGCCTGCAGTCCCTTGTGTCTACATTACAGCTGCCTCAGATGGAATACGGTGCAATGATTTCAGTGTTAAGGCATCCATTAAAGTTACTGTTTCATTTCTTATGGATTTGAGATAAACTGAGAATTTTGATTAATATCCATACTTTTCTTTCTGAAATACAGATTTTGATCAAATCTTATACATAATCTATCGCTCCTGTAGGAATATTCATTCTAATGATGGCGGGGGGAGGTGCCAGCAAGTAGAAGAAACTGTACAAGTTGACCTGGTATAAGGGAAAGAGCCTGTCGTGAGTTTCTGGACCTGGATCTACCCATGGAACCTCAGAGAAGCCTTTTTACCTTTCCACAGTATTTTAGTTAGACGAGAGAATGTACTAAATCCTTATTCTATAACATTATAATTTTGTTGCAGATAATTAGCTAATGAGGTTTATTCTTATCAAATAAAGTTTATTTTCAGATTAGTTATTTAAAGAAGACCATTGGGCACATTGAAATCTATTACTGCAGGAAGTTGTCAGTTTTTGGTTATGGCATCAAGTGTTCTGATCGAGGTTAAAACATGATTTAGAACACTCCAAGTTATCAAAGACATTAGTTTTCAAATACATCCCATCAAAAAAAATTTTAAAGACACTGTTCCCAATTAGAAACAAATGTATAAATCTCAAAGTCATTCATCCTTTCTTTATTCAGTTGTGTTTTCAACACTTATTATATACCAATTGGTCTTCTAAGTTTGGTTGATATAGTTATAACCAAGAGGGAGAAAATTCCTGCCCTCAGAGAGCTTACAATCTGTAGAGGGAGAGAAAACAAATAAATAAGTGAACACATTGATTTCCGACTGGTTACATACTATCAATATGAAGGAAACAAACAGGCGATAATAGACTTTAAATTATATTTGAGCTAAGACCTGGAAGAGAAGGAGGCGGCAAACATACAGCAAAAAGGGGGAAGAGGGAGAGAAGAGAGCAGGCAAAGGAAACAGCATTTGCCAAGGCCCCAAAATGTGGAGCTGAAGGAATAGAGTGGAAGCCAGTGGGGTTGGGAGTAGAGACTGGGGTGTGGAGTCTAAAATGAAGGTGTAGAGGCAGGCAGGGGCTCAATCATGTGTAAGCTCTGGAAAAAGTTTGGATTAAAACCAATGGCTTTGTTATTTTGCTCATTGTGATTAGCTCAAGTGAGAGGTTAAAGCTGAAAAATGTACAGGTTAGAAATATGACCTTTGGATCAAAGAGATTTATGTTCAAACCCTGGTGTTGGTACTTACTAGATATGCTCCCTTAGGCAAGTTGTTTAATCTGCCTAAACCTTGTTTTCTTCATCTTCATCAGGAAGATAAATAATAATTTACAGAGGTGGTGTAAGGATTATATCAGATAGTTTGTTTCAATAAGCACACGCCACAATGTCTACCAAGCAGTGAGTGTGACTTTTTCATGTCACACACCTCTGCTCAAAGGCAAGTCACTTTACAAGGTATCCTTTTCCTTTTCTTACCCAGCTTCAAGATTTTTAAGCATATGCTTCTTCAAATATAATTGCTGAATATTAGAATAGGTACCTAGGCAGAGATTAATAATACAGATTTTAAACCATTAAATGTATGTATTACTGGGTCATGGTTTAAAAGCTGTTTCAAATAACAGTACTGGCTGCTTCCATTTAAAGGCACTTCACTCAATTTTCCATAAAAATAATTATGATGACAAGTCTTAAACCACGTAACAATGGGAAACTAGGAATATGGATTCTCCATCCTTCTTTTCAGCTTTATTTTTCTCCGTAGCATGCTTACTTCTAACATCCAATTTATTTTATTTGGGTATTGTCTATACCCCAACCCCTCCCCACTCCGCCCCCCCTGGCTGCACACACACATATACACTCTGTCTCTCCAACCACAACTGAAACGGATTGAAAAAAAAAAAAGTGAGATAGAGATAATTCTTGCATGTGCCTTTTGTTAAATAAAATCATTTCTACCTGCTTAAAAGAACTTCGGCAGTGCCTTCATACATTTACCATTTCTGGCTTCTGAACTGAAGACATTAGTTAATGAGAAATGCCTACCGTTCTGTAACAATAAAATGAGATTATTCTACTGGGGACCACCTTTATCTATTTGGAGATTAACTCCAAGGAAGTAACACAGGGTGATGGCAGTGGAACTGGCAGTGGTATACAGTGGAACCACAGTCACAGCAAGCACATTGTTGTAGCTACTGTGCCTATAGTAAGAGGTTGGGTATTGAGCGCATGCTAGACGTTGTTATCCAGAGACTCCAATACTCCAAAGTATGAAAGGCACAGGCAGAAACAAAGGGTACAGCAAGACTCCACCTCAGTGTAACATAGCTCCCCAAAACACTTGAAAGACACTGGATATTGGCAGAGCTTGGAGAAAAGATTTCTACAAATGCACACAGACTGAAAGTGGAATCTACACTGTGTTGATGACCCCAGGGTCTAGATGGATCAATTCAGAATGAACAAGTTGACAACATAGAACATAGAACTGACGAAGAATTACTGGAGTACAAGACAAAGAACATTACCCTCACTCTCAGGAGAGGCTGTCACTCTGAAAGTGATTGACAAGAAAAACATGAAAGCATTTTAGAAAGAATCTTAACATGTTCAGTAGTATCCAGAAAGACATGGTGTCTCTGAAACCTGCAGAAAGCTTAAAAAAAAAAAAAAGATGCTGAGGTAAAAAGACAGAATGAGCTGAAAAGATAATAAAAACGAAATAAAAGAAGGAGCTAGGTTACCTAAGAATTTCAAGGAAACATAAACTGTAGTAGCAGAATTGAAATCTGTTGATCCCTACACTGCGATTTTTATTATGGGGTGATGCTCCCCACCATGAAATGGTGCTTCAGAAAAGAACAGGCAATGGATTTTGGTGTATTGGCACTGAACTGCTCACATAGTGAGATGTATTTCTCAGTATCTCATCTAGAAACAAATCGAATACCTCAACCCAGCCCAGGTACTGAAATACTCATTAACTCTTCTGCTACTTCCATGGCATGATTCAGTTACTGTATATATAATTCAGTTCATGAGACAAACTGATGTAACCTAGAAGGAAAACATACACCCATAACCCATTGTCCTTGTGTCAGTGTTGACTGTCTGTAACACATCACCTATAAAAACTGTCAGTTTCCTAAGCGTTACTTTGCCCAGCACGTACTTCCCATGCCACTCAGCACAAAGACTTTATTCAAAGTATAGTTATTAACTTGATGAACATCCTCTTCTATTTGTTTTCCTTATGACAAACCCACATTAGATATAACAGAATCGACGATGAAAGCACATACACAGTCCTGTGGAGGACCAACGTAATAATCTAGGAAAATAAGGGATAAAGATGAACATGAATCAAGACATGATGGATATTAGGTCAGAAAATGTAGGTTTGTCTAACAATTATAGCTTTAACTGTTTGACAAAATTTGGAAGATAAACAATGATCAAAGGGAAAATTAAAGAAACATTTCAGAAAAGAACAGAGAAAAAGACCTGATTGTGGACATCAAAGGGCTCATCAAATTTGAGGTAGACTTTGTGGAAAACTCCACACATCCACCACATAAAAGCTGAATAGAAATAGTGGGGAGAAAAAACAGCAAGCTGACAAACAGACTAACGGGCTTCCCAACAAGGAGTTAGAAAACGCTGGCTCCATAGCTACTGGCCACCCCAGATGTTCACTGAAATGAGATGCATAGACAGACCTTTGAGTCTTAATCCATAAAAAACCCCAATTGAGTAGCTGCTGTACAACAAAGCAACAGAAAGACATTCTCAGG